CCTGCTGGATTTCACCTCTGCCCCACACTCCAAAGATAGGGGACAAAGTTCATGGAGTAAGGAGCTTCTAGATCAGTGGTTCTCAACCTGTGGATCGGGATCCCTTTGAGGGGGTCGAACGACTCTTTCACAGGGGTCGCCTAAGACCATNGGGAGGGACGCACATGGAGCGGTGAGGGAGGAAGGGGACACCTGCCTAGCCAGCCAGATCAGCTGAATCAACCCTGGTGATCAATGGGGTGAACCAGATGTCGCAGCCAGATCGCCCTCACATCCATTCTGTTCATCTGTATTGAAACTCTCTATTGGATTTTACCAATCCCTTGCAGAATTCTCGAAGGACTAGCCAGTCCAGCTGAGAAATTCTGGAGGATGATATTTGTCCATATGATGGAGGGCGCTTATTTTGCCCTATATAGACACTGGCATGCGATATTATTGATAGACTTCCTCAAGGCTTTATTCTTGAGCAATTTAAGCTGCTAATTTTTTTATAAATACATGCAAAAGCTTTTGCATTAGGAGAACAGGACAAGATAAGTCAGAGGGATGCATGGCTTTCCCTAGGCTGAAGATCAAAATTTAGCCTCGGAGTGGTATTCCAGCAATCATACCCTGCAAAGCAGCGTCTGGGACAAGACAAAATTAAAGATTGGCCTGGTTTGCATTTAATTTGTTAAAATTAAATATCATTAAGGTGAGAATTCTCCAGTCAGGTACTTAATCGCTTTCTTCTTTCATCAAACTAAAAATAACTTCTTAGGATCAACTTTCGAAGATCTGGGGCATCTCACACAAGGCTTTTGCGAAATGCATGTTGCTGTGAAACATCAGGCTGGAACATAAATCAATTAAAAAAAACTTTTTAGAATTATCCATCTGGAGACGCGCCATCCTGGTATGGAATTTTCTGAACCACGCATTCAGAGGAAGTAGCTCATAGTAATCAAAACATTTCAGATATTTATCTTTATAATAAGCACTACTCATTGCTTGCTTTACTTCCTATCTACCCATCTGCATGCATTACGTGATCATGCCATAACCTGGTTTCCGAACGAAACCATTTTCACAAGGCACTGGATGATAAGCCAACCAAATGAGCCCAGTTCTCACAACATGCTCAGCCACAAAGCAATTAACTAAATGATGTATTTGAGACAAATGGATCTGCTAAACCTGACTCACTTCAGTGGGTTGAGTGAACACAACTATGGGTGTGTTTGAACTTCAAACGGTTCTGAAGGGTGAAACTGCCGTTGAATACAAGGTAAACATTGCTCCCGTCCAGTTGTATCTGACACTAGGGGAAGTACTTATCTCTGGTTCCTAGCCAAGGGAGCCAGTGTTGTCCGAAGATGCTTCCATGGTTCATGGGGCTGGCATGACGATGTGCTGCGGCTACGGAATGCTATTATCTTTCCATCAAAGTGGTACCTATTTATATACTTGCATTTGCATGCTTTCAAACTGTAGGAGGGCAGGAGCTGGAGCAAGGAACAGGAGCTCACCCCATCATGGGTCTTGAACTGTCTACCTTCTGGTCAACAAGACTTAACCACTAGGTCACTATATCCCCCCCCCCCAAAAAAAAACCCTGGCGTTATTCATTTTTAAAGAAGATACAGTAGACAATCGGGGCTGTAAAACAACCCTCCATCTGACTTCAGACATCCCATACATTTTACACACTGTTAGGATTCCTATGGATTTAAGGTAAACCTTTGCAGAAATCTATGGATAATCCACTTTGTGTAACCCTGTTCAGAGTCCAAGATATCGGCAAAGGCCAAACTGGAAATAGCCCTGTCATGCCCCCATCGGAGCCTGAATCTGAACCAGAGCTGGAGCTGACAGAGATTGAAGGGACGGCTTCATTGAATTTGGAGGAATGTGGGGAGAAGCGGGACAAGGCAGCCCAGGACCCCTCAGAATTAGGACGGTTTGTCAGCAGGGAGGAGCAGGGGGAGGATGACCGAGAGAGGGCAAGCAATGGAAATGAGGAGCAACTGAGCTCAGGCGACGAGCAAGTACTGTCTCCTCCTGATCCCGGAGCATGGAGAGTGGAGAGAAGATGGGAACAGTGCAGGCCAACCTGAAGACTCAAGAGGAGAGCGCCCCACCCCTCTTCACAAGGCACACCTGTGGACTGAGATTTAAGGAGATGCTGTCGGGAGGGGAGTTTGTTTGGAACAAACACTGAATTTGTAGAGTTTGGTGTGCCGGTAGAGACATTTGGATTGCTTGCTTCTTCAGACTTTATGGATCCAGTGCCTTGTTCCTGACTTTGTGCATTCATTGTTTCCCTGTTCCTTTACTTTGCTGGACTGGGTGCAGCCAGAGGCTGCCATGGGTCTGTGTGTGCGCGCTTTGCTCTGGGACTTGCCAAGAACGTGGGAGTGTTTGGGGGGGGGAGTTTGGAGCATTAAAGGGGCATTTGAACTCTCAGCTGGCTGTGTGACCTTCGTGCTTTGTCTCGCGGTCTTCACAAGCCCTCTATAAAAACCAGGCTAGTCTATCTGATCATTTTGCCTGCCAATTTATTCGCCGTTTTTCTCTCTTACGTGAAAAGGGGGCATTGCATCATTTCTTTCCACGTACAATGCTCCCCAGATTTGAAAGCAGCCTCACCTCCACATAGTTACAAGTCTAAAGATAACGGCAGGGATTTTAGGTTTTGTTTGATCTCCTTTTCCCCAGAACCTCCCTTCCTGCTTTCCTGCAGCCCTTTGTCTGCTTTTGCTCCGAGTCTCCAATTCAGCAAAGTCCGGATACAAAGCATCAAAAGCATCGAATCCTTCACAGAAAGTGGGGGGTGGGGGGGTAGGGAAATCTCAGAGCTCACCCATGTCAGGAAAACCCAAATCTGATGCAAGATAGGAAAACTGCAATATCTCAAAATAAGGGCGGTATTTCCTTTCACCCAGTTGCCTGGCATGGGAATTGAAATCTTACATGGTCTTCTGAACTTCAACCATTTGTATGCGGGCTGTTTAGAAAACAAAATCATCCTACATAGTTGATGCCCGACCAGGTCTTGTTCAAATTTTATTTTACGAAAGAAAACTTTCCTTAGAAGATGCTTTCCCTGTGACATTCTTGCAATGGCAACCCAGGTTTCAGCATAGCAGTCATGAAAGGAAATGACACTGAATGTTGCTGTGGGACAGGAGCATTGAGGAAGGAGGTTCAGGAAATCGCTCCTTCGTCAATAATAGCAATAGCATTTAAACTTATGTACCACTTTGCAGTGCTTTACAGCCCTCTCTAAGCAGTTTAGAGAGTCATCCTCTTGCCCCCAACAATCTGGGTCCTCATTTGACCGACCTCGGAAGGATGGAAGGCTGGGTCAACCTTGAGCCTGGTGAGATTTGAACTGCCAAATTGGAGGCAGCCAGCAGTCAGCAGAAGTGGCCTGCAGTACTGCCCTCTAACCACTGCGCCACCATGGCTAATATTTTGACTTTCTCTTCCCACAAGGAAACTCAGGCCCAGAGAAGGCTGCTGATACCTGGTCATAGTCACTCATGCCCTAGTCACCTGCTGGGTGGACTACATGGGTCTGCCCCAGTGATGGGTTCGTAACCGGTTTACTACTGGTTTGCTGAGCCCGCACTGAGAAACTTTCAGGAAAGCCTTGCCAGCTGCAGAACCTTCTCTGACAGGAGGCCAAGGGCGACATGCGCAAGGGAGGTGAGTCAATGGATGATATCCCTCTCCCCCCTCCCAAAATAAGACCTGGTGCCTTTTTGGTGGCAAAAAATATATATAGCAATAATAGCAATAGCAGTTAGACTTATATACCGCTTCATAGGGCTTTCAGCCCTCTCTAAGTGGTTTACAGAGTCAGCATATTGTCCCCAACAACAATCCGGGTCCTCATTTTACCCACCTCGGAAGGATGGAAGGCTGAGTCAACCNAAAAAGAAAAAGAGAGAGATGAAAGAAAAAAAGGAAAAAGGGACAGAGAGACAGAGAGACAAAAGGAAGGAAGGATAGAGAGAGAGAGAGAGAAAAAAAACATGGCCGGCAAGCCACTCCCACCAGGTCACATGGCTGGCAAGCCACTCCCACAAAGGAGGCCACACCCACAGAGTAGGTTCGAATTTTTTTTGAAACCCACCACTGATGCAGACAAAAAAGGAGGAAAAAAGCTACAAGAAAAGAAGAACTTCCAACTTTGTTTGTTTACAGATACAAGCATGAAATAGAATGTCCCTTTGAACCTGAGTAAACCGTAGCACCAGGGGTGAAATCCTCCCAGTTCAGCCTGGTTCGACCGAACTGATAGGGACGATTGTCCTTGGTTCTGTGAACCGGTAGTAAAAAAAATGATCGTGTGGCTCAGCTGTGAGCCGTGTGATCGTCGGAACCATTTTCCCCCACTTTTTAAAGCATTTTTTTCCTGCCGGTTCAGGAGAATAGGCAGGAAAAAAAATGCTTTAAAAAGTGAAAAAAAGTTCGCCATGCCCACCCAGTCACATGACCCCACCACCACCAAGCCACGCCCACAGAACCGGTGGGCAAAAAAAATAGATTTCACCACTGCATAGCACACCGTACTTCTGCAGAATCAATTAAATCTATTTTTTATTTTTAAAAAAAAGTGTAATTCTTTCCAACCAGATTTATGCTATTTTAAAGGCTTTAGCTATTGTATTTATTATTTTACATTAGTAAATAAAACCTATTTTGTTGTATTTATTTTGTACAATGATAACAAAAGGCTATACTATAGTAATGAGAATTTCCTGCCTTACCCGCAGAAGGAACTGAAGAGTATATAAATTCTTCCTCCCATTTCCCCCCACAAAAGCCTTGTGAAGTAGATTGGTATGTGACTCCCTATCATCTTCTTTTAAATAGTTCTGGTCATCCAACTCTAAAGTTAACATTTCTTTCTGTTTCAAGGAAAAAGTCTCAAAGGGGTTGGAAACAGAGCTAGCAAAAGTCTTTCCTTTGACCAGAGCAGTCAATTTTGCCATTTCTGCCGTGTTATTTTATGCTTTTGATACAGAGAAGACCTCCACCAGCCAAGGAAGGGAACCAACAAGCCGTACCTTGATGTGGCCACCAAAAGTGTCGAAATCGAAGAAGGAGCACAGATGGGCATTATAATTGTAACATCTCCTCTCCATCTCTCCCTTCACCAGAATGTTCCGGGTTAGCAGCCCGACTTCCGCTCGCATGTCAACTCCATCAATTATCTCTCCGGTGTGAAGGTACTTGGCTTTTCCTAGGGGAAAACGTAACAGTCAGGGTGTCACAAAAGGGACAAGATTAACGTAGCGGGAGAGATTCAAAGGGAAACAGATCAGCATGATCAACCAGTTAGCCATGGTGGTGCAGTGGTTAGAGTGCAGTACTGCAGGCTACTTCTGTTGACTGCTGGCTGCCTGCAATTTGGCAGTTCGAATTTCACCAGGCTCAAGGTTGATTCAGCCTTCCATCCTTCCGAGGTGGGTCAAATGAGGAGCCAAAATTGTTGGGGGCAATTGGCTGACTCTGTAAACCGCTTAGAGAGGGCTGGAAAGCACCGTGAAGCGGTATATAAGTGCTAAGTGCTATTGCTATGGCCAGGAACCCTTTCTAAAAGTTGGAAAGAGCCAAGAGGTCTTGCGAAGAAGACAAGAAGCAGCAAAGGATGGGCAAATCCATTGTCCTCAATAAACTGAATCCATTTTCTAAACACATACCCATACCCATACAAAAAAACCCCAAACTTTATGCCTAGATCATGAAGACCTATCAGAGTCTTACTACATTTTACCATACAAATATTTGATTCTGCCTCTCTCTATACACTTAATCTCAAGTTACGACCTCAATTGAGCCCCAAATACCTGTTGTTAAGCAAGATAGTTGTTAAGTGAGCTTTGCCCCATTTTTCAACTTTTCTTGCCACACTTGTTGAGTGAAACACTACAGTCGTTAAGTTAGTGATGCAGTTGTTAAGTGAACCTGGCTTCTCCATTGACTTTGCTTCTCAGATCAAGTGATCACATTATGTGATCACTTGATCCCAGGCCATTATGCAACTGTCACAACTACATGCCAGTTGCCAAGCATCCAAATTTTGATCACATGACCATGGTCGTTAAGTTTAAAAAATAGTCACTGTTTTTCATTACCATTGTAACTTTAAATAGCAATAGCACTTATACTTATATACAGCTTTACACTGCTTTACAGTCCTCTCTAAGTGGTCAGTAAGCATATTCAGCAGAGTCAGCCTCTTGCCCCCAACAATCTGGGTCCTCATTTTAACCACCTTGGAAGGATGGAAGGATGGGTCAACCTTGCGCCTGGTGGGATCTGAATTACCAAATTGCAGGTAGCCAGCAGTGAGCAGAAGAAGTCTGCAGTACTGCACTCTAACTATTGTGCCACCTCAACTCATTGTCACTAAATGAATAGTTAAAAGTCAAGGACTATCTGTACTTCCATTGCACCTGGTATCGGTGAGTTTTGTGACTTTACAGGGTAACAAGGTGGATTTTTAAAGACAAAACCAGTGGTGAGATTCAGCCGATTCGTACCTATTCGGGAGAACCGGTTGTTAACTTTCTAAGCACTTCGGAGAAGCGGTTGTTGGAAGAAATCTTATTTTGTTTTTTCCCACTTTACTGGGCTAATCCTGCAAGGAAGGAAGGAAGGAAACATTCTGGTGTTGTTTCTAGCCTGATCTTTAGTGCCCTGCTTACAGAAACTGCCTCTCCACTTAACCCTTATTGGATTGTAACAGCTAAGGCGAAGTGCCCATCGAAGTGAGTGATGCTGAGTTGGCCACACTCACCCAGTCACATGACCACCAAGCCACGCCTACCCAGCTGGTCATTAGGGCAGAGAACCGGTTGTTAAATTATTTAAGCACTTCGGAGAACCGGTTGTTGGAAGAAATCTCATTTTGTTTTTTCCCACTTTACTGGGCTAATCCTGTAAGGAAGGCAGGAAGGAAACATTCTGGTGTTGTTTCTAGCCTGATCTTTAGTGCCCTGCATACAGAAACTGCCTCTCCGGTTAACCCTTATGACATTGTCACAGTTAATGCGAAGCGCCCATCGCAGTGAGTGATGTTGAGTTGGCCACACCCACACAGTCACATGACCACCAAGCCACACCTACCCAGCTGGTCATTAGGACAGAGAACCGGTTGTTGGAAGAAATCTCATTTTGTTTTTTCCCACTTTACTGGCCTAATCCTGTAAGGAAGCCAGGAAGGAAACATTCTGGAATCCGAAAGCTTGGAAGACAAAACTTCTGGTCCCAAAATTACCAACCCAGATTGGATCCTGCGACATTATCCTGGGGCACATATGTTTGCCTTCGTTCCAGTGGAAGATGAATTTAATATTGGTAATCAAGGGTGATAAATGTTTTAAAAGAGCCTGTTTCTCTCTCTCTCTCTCTCTTTCCTCCCCTTCTCTGCTAGAGAGCTGGCCTATCAGATAGCCGAGCAGTTCCGTGTCCTTGGGAAGCCCCTGGGTTTAAAGGACTGCATCATTGTCGGGGGAATGGGTACGTCAACTTTATTTGGGAACCGGGAATTCACCCCCTCCCTTTAAAACAAGCTATCTTAAGCCCCGTGAAGCTGCAGAAAATATTTATTTGACC